GATGTATGGGGTTGAAAGTGAAGATACCAAGTGCATGGAATGCTCCTTACCTCAAAAATGATGTCTAAATGCAGAAGATGAATAACTAATCATACCTCAAATGTATATAAAAACGAAAACTTGTCATATGCGGAGACAAGGTTAGTGAAGTAAAATGCCCCTTTGTGTCTTAGACATGGGATCCCTAACCTTACGGGTGGGATGTTAAGGGAAACATATCTTAGGGTTGGTATCTCTCTAAGGGCAATACATGTTTTCCTAAAGGACATTAGGCCTTCTCAACCATTTATCCTTTTGGAGTCAACGGGAGATATTTCCAAAAGCTAATACACAAGATGATATTACATCATCAAGCGTCGTATTAACCAATGGAAACGACCTAATAGGAACTTATCTAACTCCTTAAAGTGGGAAGAATTGCTCTTCCAAGCCAGATTCATAAGGATTTCAGACTAGAGGTTGGGTTCACCTCCAACACGGACCTAATGCAAAATGAGAGTGAGTGTGTGTGCGAGGGGCATGACACTCGATAACCTGCACAGTGGCAACCACAAAATAGCAACATATATCTCACCACAAGTACATAAAGCATGCAAAGCACTCAACAAATATAGCACCCACAAACAAACCTACTTGCACAGCAAGAAGGGACTCACCCAGTACTTCGATGCCAAATGCCAAAGGTTAGTACATCCACACTAAAGGAGTCAATACCGTACCGGCATGTGTACCGGTTTTGTTACTGGAACGGTACGTACCAGATACCGAAATTTTTTGCGTACCGTTTTGGATTTATCGCTATAAATATATTTTTATAAGAGAAATTAATGTAATTAAGGACAAGATTTGAAAGAAACCTCTTCTGTTCCATTGTGATATGTGTAGATAAGGGTGTGGGATGTACAAGAAAAGAAATGCACTGGAGTGCTGATTGGGCATACAAGAAGTGTGAAATCTCTGACTTCTCATCCAACAAATTCTGGTATTTTTGTTGAAAAATCTAATTTATTCCAGAAAATGACTCCCCGCCCCGCCCTACCCCTCCTAACCCTTCCCCCCCCAAAAAAAAAAAGATTTGTTCAAATTCAATTGTTCAACAGATATTATCATCTCCGGTTCAAGAGATGGGTCCTTTACTTTATAGGACTTGAGGTGCAAGATTAGTTCTAAAAACAGATGCTGGAGAAATAGGAGAGGCACGATTGAAACTGCAGGGTTAAGTCAGGAAAAAGGTGCCCCCAGCCAAAACGACGTCGTTTTGGCTGGGGATTCTTTTTTTTTTT